ACCAGGCTGGCCTCGAACTCACAGAGATCCGCCTGCCTCTGCCTCCCGAGTGCTGGGATTAAAGGCGTGCGCCACCAACGCCCGGCTCTTTATTAATATTTTTAAGAATGAATCTGAAGGCCGGCAGAGGTAGCAAATGCCTTTTAATCCCAGCACCCAGGAGCCAAACGAGGGCAGATCTCCGTGAGTTGGAGGCTAGGACAGGCTCCAAAACTACCCAGAAACTCGGACTTGAAAAACCAAAATAACAAACAAAAGACTGAATCTCACAATGTACCCTGGGTAGTCTGGAATTCACTATCGTATACCAGAGGGGCTTGAACTAAAGCAGTGACCCTTCCCCCACCCCCAGCCTCAGCCTCAGCAAGTGCTGCAAATAAGGTTACCACCCTACCCAGGCCCTGGTCATTTACCATCACATAAACAACAAACAAATCCACTTCCTCCTGTATAGATGGAGGGGCTGGATGACAGGGATGGTGGAGGTCATTCTGCCCCAGGGAAGCTCAGCACAGGTGACACGGGGTGGATTGGGTAAGGATGGCCCCAGGTGAGGGAGGGATTCCGGAGCCTCCCCTCCAGGCGGCCAATGAGCACTCAGACTATTTAAGAACTAGAGCCTCCCCCCCCCTCCCGCCTGCCAGAATTTTCTACTGTACTCTTTTGTCTTGGTGTTTGGGACAGCTCTGCTCCACATTTTGAGTTCGGCTTTCTCGGTAAGAGAGGTAACTTGTTGTGTTCTGGAGGTTTGGAACCCGGGCCCTCAACTTTGAGAGGCACTTGTAGGTCCGATCTTGATACTGGGTGAGACAGATTTAGTTTAGCCAGCTGAGGACATGAGTCAGGCTGAGTAACAAACACAGATCTGCCTTCCTCAAGACCACCAGGGCCTGCTTATAGAACTTTCGGTGTTCTGTGTAGTTTGGAGCCTGTCCTGGGACGCGCTCTGTAGACTGTGCTGGTGTAGAACTAGTTTAACTAGGATTAAGGAGTTGAGTCAGGTGGCTGACCAGTTTGCTTTTGACTTTCTTTTTTTTTTTTTTTTTTTTTAGTTTTTCGCGACAAGGTTTCTCTGTATTGTTTTGGAGGCTCTCCTGGAACTCGATCTGTAGACCAGGATGGCCTCGAAATCACAGAGATCCGCCTGCCTCTGCCTCCCGAGTGCTGGGATTAAAGGTGTGTGCCACCAAAGCCTGGCTGCTTTTGAACTTGTTAAAACAAGAATCCGAGCAGCCGTGGATTTGATTTTCGGGCCTCAATTCAGCTGAGTCTAGTCCCACCTCTCTGTAGGCAGAGGCCTTCAAGGCACACGTGTGTAGCTTTAGAAAGGTAGGGATTTAGGAGTGTGTGTGGGGTTATGAATGATGCCTCCGGGAGTTCCGGAGGGTCCCCGGCCATTGCATTTAATTTGTTGGAGAAGCTGAATGGATTTGGGTCAGTTTTGGGACTGAATGTTAACCTCTCCGATTTCACAGAATTCAGGGTTCGAACTGTTCTAATGATCTAAATTTTCTGCCGGGCAACCCTTTTTTTTTTTAAGGCTTGTGCGGCTCTCTGGACCATGTCAGCCTGTGGTACTCAAACTGTGGGGGCACTTTTTGTTCTGGAATAAAGTGCCGCCAGGTTTTGAGCGTTACCGGTTGCGAAAAAGGCCACTTCCCCAGTTCTTAGTGGCGCTCATCTATCATTAATCTAATGGCGGGGGCGCTCTTTGGACTTAAGCTACAATGGGGTAGCACGTGTCTGGATTTACTGTGGTGTCCTGGGAGCTGGGACTCTGCACGTGGAGGGGAGAGGATGTTGAGCAGGAAGGACTCGGGACATCCCTTGGGCAGTAACCAGGAACTGAAGCAGGATTGGGAGAGTACCTGGGGAGTAGTCGTGACCCCATGCTCGAGGGGACTACCCACATAGTGGTCATCAAAGTGGACGCCCTCTCTGAGGCAGAACTAGAAAGTGCTTTCACTTTGTGTCTCGCTGTGGGGGGCTAACATCGGAGTTGAGCCCATTGGAAGCATTTGCACGCAGGCGCTCAGCTCAGGCTCGGGAGTGTGAGGAGTGCTGCTCTCCACTGAAAAGGCAGGGCAAGTCTGGAGTGATGGGAATAATATCGGATGTGCCTTGGACCTTAACCGAGCCTTGTAGTGGTGAGAGGTAAGCTACAGTGGTTACTTTTTATTATGTATACAATCTTCTGCCTGCATGCCAGCAGGCGGCACCAGATCTCATTCAAGGTGGTTGTGAGCCACCATGTGGTTGCCTGCCTCTGCCTCCCGAGTGCTGCGATTAAAGGCGTCCGCCACCAACGCCCAGCCCCAACAGCGTTTCTACGGTTGGTTTGCACAGATCCCTTCAGATCTCAACCTGAGCTAATCAAACATTGGTGACATATTTTTTGGTCCTTGGAAGAGGTTCCATGTTTGAGTGCTGCCGACTGAGAATGTGCTGCAGCTGGGGGAGGTGGCCATTGCTGTCCACGGGATGACACTCAAATGTCTGGAGCGCTCTCCTCATGTCTAAAGCGGAAAGTGTTGCAACATTTGGGTGTTGTCTGTGGATACCACTCCTGCCTGTGCGGTGGATGGGGGTCATCTTTAATAAGAGATTTATCGTGGGCGGTGAAAACTTGCAGAGAAATGAATGATGGTGAAGTGGGGGGAGGGAGTTGAGTTTGTCACCTCAAGTTCCCTTAGCCACTGGGCCATCGTCCCCAGGCCCACTTCACATTTCTGGGACTCTTAATGTTGCAGGCACAACTGGACCCACCTGGAGATGTCCCAGATAGCCGTACTCAAAATGGAGGCCCTCTCCGGGCCTTGGGAAGGGGAAAGTGCTTCCATTTTGTGTGCGGCTGTGTGGAGAAGGCACCGTGGAGCTTCTGAGAGCCCGGACTTGCTCACTTGGGGACACTCAAATGTGGCGCACTCTTCTGGATGGAGTGGAAAGTGCTACACCATTTGAGTGTCCCCAGGGAGCACCTGTCCCTGAAAGGTCTTCAGTTCCTGTTCCAGACCTGAGTGTTCACTCACTGTCCAGAAGAGAATTGATGCCATTTCCAGCTACAGTGAGAACCCCGGGCTTCTTGGGGTGTGAGAGGCAACGTCTGAGGCCTGGTCCTGGGCAGTCTCAGCCAGAGCTAAAAATTTGAGTTGTTAGTGTATGGTGTCTGCAGCATGAGCAACTTTAATCGTAAGTTTTTTTATTTTGTTTTTAGAGACAGGGTTTCTCTGTGGCTTTGGAGGCTGTCCTGGAACTCACTCTGTAGACCAGGTGTGGCCGCCAACTCCCAGCTAATCCTGATGTTTAAAGTCATTTTTTGCATCCTAATGTTCAGTTGGCAATTGTGGTTTTGCACATTATAGATCAATAAAGTCTTGTTCTCTTGGCACGGCCTCTGTTTTTTTTTTTCTTTTTTTTGGTTTTTCGAGACAGGGTTTCTCTGTGGCTTTGGAGGCTGTCCTGGAACTCGCTTGGTAGTCCAGGCTAGTCTCGAACTTACAGAGATCCGCCTGCCTCTGCCTCCCAAGTGCTGGGATTAAAGGCATGCGCCACCAACGCCCGGCCTACGGCCTCCGTTTTCTATGAACCGCGTGTGGCAGGGTGGGGGGATGACTTACTTACATTGCTTCCAGGTGATTCTAGGAAGGGCACTCCAGCCACAATGCATGTTTGCAAGCATTTTAGCCTGCTGGGTGGTGTCAAGGGCCCAGTTTGAGGCAGGTCTTGGGAGCTTAAGTGCCTTGAGTTGCTCTAATTGCAGATTTACAGCTTTCATTTGCAGGAAGCTAAGCAGTTCTGTGTGGCCTGGGTCGCTGGCCTCCCACTCTCTGCCAATTTCAGCTGGGGAAGCTCCTGGCTTCACCCTCCAGTCTCCCCCTTGAGGCTACTATAGTAGGGGCTTCCTTATTCCTCACAGGATAAGGGTAACTTTCTACCACAGATGGGTTTTTGTTTTGTTTTTTCGAGACAGGGTTTCTCCATATTGTTTTGGAGGCTGTCCTGGAACTAGCTCTTGTAGACCAGGCTGGCCTCGAACTCAGAGATCTGCCTGCCTCTGCTTCCCGAGTGCTGGGATTAAAGACCTTTTGTTTTACCTGAAGGGCCAGTTTAGTTTGCCTTGCAATCCTGTAGGCTTAGATTCAGAGAGATTTAAGTCTGTAAATCATGAGACTAAGTGACTGATGGTTTCAGGTACTGATAAGGTTTTAGGAGGCCTCTACAGAAGGAAAATGAATCAAGGCCCTTATACACATCTGTCACTGAAGGACATCCAAACCACATTTTACATGCTGTGTGAACAGGCAGCTTGACCTACAGGTATTGGTTTTTTGTTTTGTTTTTCCAGACAGGGTTTTTTTCTGTAGCTTTGGAGCCTGTGCCTCCAAGTGCTGGGATTTTAACGGCTTGCACCACCACTGACTACCTCAAGAGGCCTCCTTTGAGATCGGCAGTCTATGCTGGAATTCCTGCTGACCAGATGCACAGATCTTCCTGCTTCTTTTTTTTTTTTCCTTTGTCCTGACCCTGATTGCTAACTCTTAACAGCTATAATACCTGGCCACATTTTAATATTTGTGCATGCCCACCTTTGGGGCTATGCTTACTACTTTGCCACCATGTTGGTTCCTGTGACTCATGTCTGGTCCTCAAGGTTGGTGACAGGGGCCCCATTACAAGTTTCTGCCCTTTGCCTTTTTTTTTTTTTTAACGAGACAGGGCTTCTCTGTATTGTTTTCGAGGCTGTCAGTCCAGCCCAGCCTCGAACTCACTCTTGTAGACCAGGCTGGCCTTGAACTCGCAGAGATCCACCGCCCGGCTCCTTTGCCATTTTTTAGTAAGCATGCTATTGCCTGGAGCTGGCATGGATATATGCTCCTGTAGGTACTGAAGTTCAAACCCAGCTTCTCAAGTCTTAATTTTCCTGGGCCTCCCTGTAGCTCTGTCTGCTCTTCAACGACCTGACTTTGACCCATAAAGGCATTAGACACCTCACACAGCCATTGTACATGTTTTTCAGCCCAGATGTTAACCATCGGCATGCAATCTATACAGCTCCTTAGGACAGAATAGAGTCCTGGGTTTCATGCCTGCTGGCTAGACAGCCAGTCTCCCAGCTGGTCCGCATGTCCTGACCTCTCCACGTGCTGAGGCCTCATCTGGGCAGGTAGCAGACACAGACAGTCCTGGATCTTGCTGCCTCTGTTCTAATGTACAGGTTTCCCAGGGGGTTTACAATGTTGAGCTGTGAAGTAAGCTGGTCAGGGAAATTTGGCCACCCCTCTATATCTGCAAGGATTTTGGGTTACTGCTTGAATTGCCTCTGGAAACTGCACAAAGATTTGTGGGTTTGGAGAAGCAGAGGCAAGCAGAACTCTTGAGGTGGAGGCCAGCAAGTTCCAGGTTAGACATAGCTACAGAAACACCTTGTCTCTGATACCACCCACCTCCTCCCAAGAAGTGTCCTGTGCCCTTATTCTAATCTGTTGTAGTTTCGGACTTGACCAGTAGGTGGGAGTCTTGTTACAGTGACTGACTGAAATGTCCAGTAGTCCAGATTTTCGTGGGGTTCCTGGGCAGCCTTGGCTGTTAAACACAGAGGAAAGCAGAAATCACACACGAAGTTCCATCTCTCAAGTGCTGGATCACAGCTGTCTGAGGGAATAAAGATCCTGGTGGCCTCCATTCCGATGCCACAGCCCTGCTCAGCACCCAATGTCCAAGTAAGGTTTTAAGAGTCGAAGGGCTGCCAGCCTCCTGTGGGTCATTCTGTTCAGGTCCATTCCAAACAGCCTGAGGAAAAAGCCATGGGACAGTCACTGCAGTGACTACAAAGATAGCATCCTGGTACCCTGCCCGTCAACATTTCTCTTGTTTGGTTGTTTGGTGTTTTCTTTTTCAGCGGGGTTTATCTGTGTGTACCCTTGGCTGTCCTGGTAATCACTATGTAGACCAGGGTAGCATTAAACTCCCAGAGACTTGCTTGCCTCTGCCTCCCAAGTGCTGGGATTACAGGGCTGCGCCACCAATGCCCAGTCTTCAGTCACTGATAAGTAAGAAGCACAGGAAAACCCAAGCTGTATTCTCATTTACAGGTGCAGATAGCCTGGTGTGGAAAGCATGTTCAGTGGGTAAATAACAGACTCAGAACTCCCGGATGCCAGCGGAGACTGGTTTCATTTAAAAGAACAAGAGGGCTGGGCGATGGTGTCGCATGCCTTTAATCCCAGCACTCGGGAGGCAGAGGCAGGTGGATCTCTGAGTTCCAGGCCAGCCTGGTTTACAAGAGCTAGTGCCAGGATAGGCTCCAAAAAACAATACAGAGAAATCAACAAAAGAACAGGAAGTCAAACCATGCATGCTTGCAAAGCCAGCATTCAAGAGGCTGAGGCAGGAGGATGGAGACTTTGAACAACCTGAGGAGTCTAAACCCCAGTTAGCATCCTGATAAGTATTGATCTCAAATATTACAAGAAATTGTGAGTGAAATAGTTCACCTTTTACTTATAGACTTTATATTATTTTTACTATTTACATATGTGCATATCTATGGGTGTGAACGGGAGCCATGCCCATGAAGGCCAGGAAAGGGAGTTGGATCCCCGGAAGCTAGAATTGTAGGTGAATGTCGTCACCTGACAAGGGTGCTGGGAATTGAACTCAGGTCCCCTGTAAAGATCACCAAGTACTTTTTTTTTTTTTTTTTTTTTGGTTTTTCGAGACAGGGTTTCTCTGTATTGTTTTGGAGGCTGTCCTGGAACTCACTCTGTAGACCAAGCTGGTCTCGAACTCACAGAGATCCGCCTGCCTCTGCCTCCCGAGTGCTGGGATTAAAGGCATGCACCACCAACGTCTGGCTCACCAAGTACTTTTAACTGTTGATCTATCTCCAGTATTATTTATCCAGTGTTTAATGCATCTCAACCTTTTAGAATTCCTACCCCCCCCAAATGTGAGCCCAGCATTCCAACATCCCCTATTCTCCCCAAGAAATCAAGGTCCATCTCTCACCACAGGACTCGCAGTTTGCAGCTTGGATGTCTCAGCCTCCTGCACAGCGTCCGGACACCTGTGTCCCCCAGAGCATTGTTGGTCACATAAAGCTCAGTTAGGGTCTGGTTGGTTCCCAGGATGGAAGAAAGGTCCTCAGCTGCTTTGGATGTGAGGCCACAGCTGTCCAGCCTGCAGAGGACAACAGAGTTGGGTGAGGTGGTCTTTTTAGGGAGTTGTGGTGAGGATTTTTCAGGTGGCAGGGTCTAAAGGAAACAGACATGAGCCCATCCAGTGGTTGCCGGATACCTTCCTTAGTGAGTGGTGTAGCCCTCAGCAAATAATCTCCCTGCCGTGTTCACACAGGTAACCCTAACAAGTTAGCTTCACTCGGTGGGCAGAGGCAGCTGGATCTCTGAGTTCAAGGCCACCCTAGTCTACAAAGCTGAGTTCCAAGACAGCCCAGGCTAAGTTTTAGCCTGGAGTCAAATTGGCCTAGAAGAGTAGAGTTAGGGATGGCTCCAGCCCTCAGGACTTCTCTGTCCCCAGAGAACACATCTCAAAATAGAGAGCAAGATGCTGCCAGCTTGGTAAGGCTGTTTGGAAGTCTAGACATGGTGGCTCACTCCTGCAATCCCAGCAGAGGGAGGCTGATTTCTGAGTTCAAGGGCAGCCTGGGCTACAGTGTGAGTTCCAGGACAGCCTGGGCTAAGGGGGCGGGGCATTTGTAGAAAGAGACAGAGCAGCACTGCTGTGAAGCAGGTTGAGTCTGAGAGTATAGCCAGTATAGTAGCAGATTCTAGAAGCCCCAGATCCCAAAGGTAGGAGCTGGAGAGATGTCTCAGTGGTTAAGACTGCTCTTCTAGGGGAGCCAAGTTTGGTTTCCAAGTTTGGTTTAGTTGGCTCAAACATCCTGTAACGAATACTCCCGAGAATCTGATGCCATCTTCTGGCCTCTGGGGACACTGCAGGCAGATGCACTTATACATAGACGAAAAGAAAATGCCCAAATGAAGCCTGGAGTCTGAGCTTTTTTTTTTTTTTTTAAGATTTTTTATTATGTATACATATTCTGCCTGCGTGTATGCCTACAGGCCAGAAGAGGGCACCAGATCTCACCATGTGGGTGCTGGGAATTGAACTTGGGAGCTGTGGAGGAGCAACCAGTGCTCTTAACCTCTGAGCCATCCCTCCAGCCTGAGTCTGATCCTTTTAGTTACACAAATTAATAAATGCCTTTTCCCCCAAGAAGCTTCTATACACTCCCAAAGTTTGTCACCTGCTTGTGTGTGTGTGTGTGTGTGTGTGTGTGTGTGTGAGAGAGAGAGAGAGAGAGAGAGAGAGAGAGAGAGAGAGAGAGAGAGGGAGAGAGAGAGATGGGGAGTTGCTTTTTGGAGGATGGTGGATCCTTTTCTGTCTCCATTTATGTGGGGAGTTATAGCAGCAAGTGGTCACCATGGTGGCAGGAGCAGGAACCTGAGATACCACATTTTCTTTTTTTCGTTTTTTGAGACCGGGTTTCTCTGTGTGACTTTTGGAGCCTGTCCTGAAACTCCCTGTGCAGACCAGGGTGGCATGGAACTCACAGAGATCCTCCTGCCTCTGGCTCTCCGGAGTGCTGGGATTAAAGGCTCCAACCATCACTCCCTGGCTCAGCTATGTTTCCCGTGTTTCCTGCTTTTACAACGAAAACAGCCATCACTGCTTCCTGGTTTGTCTTTTGAAGTAGCATCTCTTATATCCCACGCTGGCCTGAGAGCAGCCATGAAGCTGAGGTCGGCCTTAAAATGTCTACTTAGGCAGCCGGTGTGCAGTGCCGAATCACTCATTAACATCCCCAGCCTACTCCTGTCCTCCTAAGGAAAACACTCACCACAGCTTCCGGAGTCTGCAGGCTGGGTGCCGAAGGCCTTCCCCCAGCAGCCACAGGCCCCTGTCTCCCAAGTCGTTGAAGCTCAGGTCCAGTTCTCCGAGGCAAGAGTTGACTTGGAGCACACGGGCGATCCCTGCGCATGCATCTGAGCCCAGCCGGCAAATGCCCAACCTGGAGGAAGGGATGGCCAATCTGAGTTTATCCTATGCCTTTGGGCTAGGTCACCAGGGCTGGGCTGAAATGCCAAATTCGTATGCTGGGTGCAGGGGTCCGGCTCTGCCCACCTTTCAGAAAAGGGGAGAAGGCAGAGAGGAAGACAGGGCAGAAGGCAAGGGCCAGGCAGCTCACAATTGGCTGTAACTCCAGTCCCAGGCAATCTGCATTCATCTTCTGGACTCTGGGTACCAGTCGTGCACTTGGTCAAGAGCATTCATGCAGGCGGAGAGCCGCATATGTGGAAATTTGTAATTTAAAATAGAAGGAGAGCCGGGCGTTGGTGGCACACACCTTTAATCCCAGCACTCGGGGGGCAGAGGCAGGTGGATCTCTGTGAGTTTGAGGCCAGCCTGGTCTATAGAGCGAGTTCCAGGACAGCGTCCAAAACAATACAGAGAAACCCTGTTTCGAAAAACAAAAAAAGAAGAAAGGGGCGGGGCCGTGGTGGTGCACACCTGTAACCACAGCACTGGAGGGCGGGGACCAGGGCCAGAGATCATTGTGAGTTTAAAGCCAGCTTGGTCTACAGAGCAAGTTCCAGGATATCCAGAGCTGTTATACAGAAAAACCTTGATGGTTAATTGTTGCAGGAGCCCATTGTGGGTAGTATATCCCTGGGCCGGTGGGCTTGGGCTGTATAAAAGCAGCTAACAGAGCAAGTCAAAGGGAACCAGGCAGTAAGCAGCAATTTTTTTCTTTTTCTGCTTCAGGCTTCTGCTTTGGTTTCCCTCGGTGAAGAACTATAACCTGTAGGGTAAAGTAAACTCTTGCTTTCCAAAGTCACCTTTGGTCATGGTGTTTATCCCAGTAACAGAAAGCCAGGTAGGACAGAGGATACACTTTAGTCAGTGGCATTTGTTCTGAGACCTGAAAGATGAACCAATCTCCCCTGGAAATGTATGTATGATGTATGCATGCTTGTATGTATGTATATATGTATGTATGAATACAGTGTTCTGTTGGTATGTATGCCTGCAGGCCAGAAGAGGGCACCAGATCTCATTATAGATGGCTGTGAACCATCATGTGGTTGCTGGGAATTGAACTCAGGACCTCTGGTAAATCCCCCAGTGCTTTTAACCCCTGAGCCATCTCTCCAGCACCTCCAATGGAGATAAAATGTACAGCAGAACAGAAGGGCAGTTGCAGGGGTGTCAGCAACGTGTGCAAAGGCCCCGTGGCAGGAAAACGTGACAGCAAAATTCTATATTTAGCTGGGCAGTGGTGGCGCACACCTTTAATCGCAGCACTCGGGAGGCAGAGGCAGGCGGATCTCTGTGAGTTCGAGGCCAGCCTGGTCTACAGAGTGAGTTCCAGGACAAACTCCAAAACTACAGAGAAAACCTGTCTGGGAAAACCAAAAACAGTAACAGCAACAACAACAAAAACAGATTCCGTAGCTGGAGCTAGTGAGGAAAAGGGAGGTACCTTGGCCTTCGTGACAGAGAAGACAGGGCAAGCATGCTGAATCGGGAGCTCCACTCACCGGAGGGTCTGGAGTTTGCAGTCTGGGTGCCTGAGGCCCTCACACAGCAGAAGCACCCCGGGATCCCCAAGGTCATTCAGGCCCAGGTCCAGCTCCATCAGGGTCTGACTCAGGCTGAGGCTGGAGGCCAGCTCTTCACAGGCAGCCTGGCCAAGGCGGCAGATCTTCAGCCTGTATAAAAGTCAGACAGTGAGCATGATGTGGGGATTTCCTGGGGACACGGAATCTGTCCTCTGCCCCCTGACTTCGGAGTTCAGTGTTCTCAGGAAGCTGGTGGCCCACACCTGTGACACCCACCAGTGCATGGTAGAGACAGGAGGATGCTCCGTTAAGTAGCGGGGGTAGATAGTGAGGCTCTGGCTCAAAGCCAGGGGCTGTGGGTGTAGCTCAGTAGCAGAGAACTTGCCTGGTGCATGCAAGGTCCTGGGTTGGATTCCCAGCACCCACCCACCCCCAAAAGAAAGCCAGGAGAACACAAAAGCCACAGAAAACTGTTCAAGGCCTGGCGATGGTGGCGCATGCCTTTAACCCCAGTACTCAGAGGCAGAGGCAGGCAGATCTCTGAGTTCAAGGCCATCCTGGTCTACAGAATGAGTTCCAGAATATCCAGGACTACACTGAGAAACCATATCTACAAAACAAATAAATGAACAAACAAAAAAACCTGTCCACGATGCCGATATATTATGCATATTTGATTATATAAATATATACATGATTTTCAAATTACACTTGACTTGGGCATGGTGGCACATGCCTTTAATCCAGCACTCAGGAGGCAGAGGCAAGCGAATCTCTGAGTTTGAGGCCAGCCTGGTCTACATATCAAACATTCCAGGTTACGCAGAGATACACAATGAGACCCTGTCTCAAAAAGTATTTTCTGTGTACATGCACACATGCACAGCAGCAAGTGTTCTTCAACAATGAGCCATCCCTCCAGCCCCTGTGGGCATTTTCTTGATGGCTAATTGATGCAGGAGCCCATCGTGGGCATCATTCCAGGACAGCTTGCAAGAGTCTCTGCTTTCGCCGTGTGGGCCCCAGGCACTAAGCTCAGGTTGTCAGGTTGGCGCCTACAGATATATTTTAGTAAGACTTTTTTAAAAAAAGATTTTGTTTATACCGTCTTCTGCCTGTGTGCCAGCAGAGGGCACCAGATCTCATTAAACATGGTTGTGAGCCATCATATGGCTGCTGGGAATTGAACTCAGGACCTCTGGAATAACAAATAAGTGATCTTAACTGCTGGGCCATCTCTCCAGCCCTGGTAAGACGTTTTATTGACTAAAGGAAACAAAAATGAGACTGGCAAATGCCTCAATCCTTTGGTCCTAACACTTGGTGGTAATATGTGTAGAGATCATTTTTTGCCTTCCTCAGTAATAGTAATGGTTGAACTTCCTCAGGGGGTTGAACTTGGTCAGCAGCCTTGATGGCCAGTGCCATCTTTCTGGCCCCTGCTATCAAATCTCTCTTTTTTTCCCCTAATTTTTAAAATTATTATTGTATGCGGTTGGAGAGATGGTTCGGCGGTAAAGAGCACCAGCAGCTCTTGCAGAGGACCCGGGGTTCAATTCCCAACGCTCACGTGGCAGCTCACAGCTGTTGAGGGATATTAGTTGAAGACGGGTTACGTTCTTTTATGCTGTAGAACATTTGCTTAATGATGCAAAGATGTGCTGCATTCTTTTATGTTGCATTTGTTTAACTCTGTGAAGCTGTGTTACTTTGCCTGCCTAAAACGCCTGATTGGTCTTATAAAGAGCTGAACAGTTGAAAGCTAGGCAGGAGAGAGGGACAGGCAGGGCTGGTGGGCAGAGAGAATAAACAGAACGAGAGAGAGAGGAAGAGGGAAGAAGGAGAAAAGGAGAAGGGACAACACCAGGGGTCAGCCACGCAGCCAGAAACAGCAAGAAGGAAAGAAAGACATACAGA